CCTGCTGAAAGGTGAAAGCAGCTGAGTCAGGGTCTGGTGTGTGTGTCTGTATATATATGTGTGTGTGTGTATTTGTGTGTGTGTATACACACACACAATCTGCTCCCCTAGAGCAGGATGGGAGCTCTGTGGTTGGCTCCCAGAGCTGCCAATCGAGCTACGGACAACTGCTATGGGTGTTTCTAAGGCTCTCCACAAGCCCACCCCCAGCTTTGCCTAGGAATTGATTGAATTGATGCCAGGCTGTCTGGAGAAGGAACCACTCTAATGAACCAAACAAACCTCCACAGGGAAAAGGCGGTTCATTTTTGGATTCAGGAATGACGCAACCAATCAAACTGGTTCAAAATTAACCATGAACCGGCCTGGTTTGTGCTCGAACCATGGTTCATTTCTCAGTTTGTGTCCATCCCTATGTCCCAGCAATTTAAACCCTGTTTTCTGCTCTTCATGAACCATCACAAATGACATCAAATCTCGTGGACATTCATGGCCGTTCCCGAGTTCACAAATATGGGCTCATGAACCAGCCGAAGTTCATCACAAGTTTTCATTTGTGAGCCAGTTCATACCCATCTCTATACCCTGCCACAAATTTTGTTAGTTTTAAGGTAACTGTAAACTTTACCATCATTCATTAACCATAGCATTCAGATGCATTTCTCACCTTTTAGATGCAAGATGTAAAAACTTTGGCCACAGTTTCAATAATCACTGGATTTTGAGTGGATCGTAGAAAAATAATTTTGCCTTCATCAGGTTGCCCTTCCTGCTCTCGCAGCCAACGTTCAATAAGTGAGGGTCAAATATTAAGGTAGTAGGTACAACACAAGAAAACATGTTCAAGGATTTCTACTTCTTGCAGTCCACAAGCACAGAGCCTATTTGAGTACGAAATTTTCTGAAATCTCCCATATAGTACCACAGAACATAGTACATTAAGGCGAGCTAACATATAAGATCTGAGATAATGCGGGACAGTTAAACAAGAGAAATGCCCTGCTAAGGACCCATGGGGGAAAATCCCCAACCTCAAGGGTGAACAACTACCTTTAGCCAGGCTCCTTAACTTTTGCATCTCAATATCTAAGAGTCTTTGTTTAATCAGGGCATAGGCTGAACTTTCTGGAAAGGAAAATAGATCATCAAAGCTAATCCCTATTGAAATAGTTTTCTATATAGTTTAGTCACATGGATGACTGGGACTCAGTCAGCATATGAGATATAAGGCTATTAGAGTTGTTCTTAAAATGAAGGTGTGGCCATAATTTAACTGTTACAATCCAAGCTTTCGTCTCTAGGAATCTTTGGTTGGTTTCCAAGCAAATGGCCACATAAGGAACACACAAAAGGGCTACTGGACTCTTTTCTAGTGCTTGCCCATCTTGTTAAATCTTAAATATTCATAAAGGCTGACAGTTCACAAAACCTCGATAAACAAAAGCAACAACAACAAAAACCCTTATAAAATTCACAGAATTCATTTTTTTGGGGGGGGAATCAAATATGTGTTTTGATTAACTGAAATCCCTGTGAAAGGAACGATGGAAAAGTAAGAAAGGAAAGATGGAGAAAAATCACTGAAGGGTGAAGGTGTAGTACTTTAAGATTTTTGTTGCCATGTGAAAATTAAATTCCATTGGGATTTTCTTAGGTACTTCCGTGGTGCAAGTCACAGCCACAGATGCTGATGACCCTTCTTATGGAAACAGTGCCAGAATCATCTACAGCATCCTCCAGGGTCAACCATACTTCTCTGTGGAGCCAGAAACAGGTAAGGACTCACTTTAAAAAAAATCCTGAATGGCAAGTAGCCTTTGTGGGTTCTTACAAGAAGCTTTCGAAGCAGAATGGCCATGAAAATCCTCCAGTTGAAGGTCACTCCAAAATGTTTGATGTAAGTTAAATGTCAAGGCATGGTCTAAATTCTGCAGATGTGAATAAAACACTGGATGCACTACTTTCGTGCTTGTCAAGAAGAGGATGATGTCTTTTTTAAAAAACAACAACACAATTTTAGAAGTATTCTATGCATTTTGGAAAGTGAGGTGCTATTTTAAATGCTGTGTACTATTTTAAATGCTGTGTTTCAATTCTGCATTATTTATGTTTTTATTCTGTATTGTTGTTTTTGTTGTTGGAAGCAACCCTGAACCTGCTTTGCGGGGAGGGTGGGGTATAGATTTGACTATAAATAAATAATAAATAATAGATTTCTTAATGATACCACTTGGGTTGCCAACTTCCAGGTGGTGGGGTGGAGATCTCCTGGAATTACAGTTGATCTCCAGACTACATAAACCACTCATTTATTTATTATTTACTAGGAAAAAGGCCCGTTGTGGAAATAAATACAACGGTCTCTAGAAAGAGGTTCTGGGCGGGTGCCCTGGCCTTGGACACTCAGTGTCAATTTACTGTGGCGACCTCAGCAGAGTATAATGACACTGAGTCCACCATTTTCTCCAGAGGAACTGATCTCTGCTACCTAAAGAACAGTTGTAGTTTTGAGTGATCTCCAGCCCTCACCTGGTGATTGGCAAAGGTTGTTCCCCAGAAGGGAATAGTTGGTTTGGAGGGTGGAGTCTATGGCTTTGTACCTGTCCGAGGTCCCACGTCTCCTGAAACCTCACCCTCTCCAGGCTCCATTCCTGGCATCTCCAGGAATTTCCCACCTGGAGTTGGTAACCCTATCTCCTTCCCAGCCAATTATCAACCTACCTTTATTTTCCCCTCACTCTTCAGCTTTCCACCCCCCACACACCTGCAGCCTCTCCCGTGCTCTGAAGCCCTGACTGCTACGTCACATTGGCTGTCATACGGGGGCCACCTCAGCAGCATATAAGGATACAGAGCCCACCACTTTCTCCAGGGGAACTGGTCTTTGCCATCTGGAGAGCAGTTGTAATTCTGAGTGATCTCCAGCCATCACCTGGAGATTGGACACATTTTACCTCAGAAGAGCAAACTGTTTAGAATGTTAGAGGCAAAAGCCAATCAAGTCGCATATGCAAACGACCTCTGTGTTCCAAGGCAAGCCCTCTGATTGACAGATCAGAGAGCGAACTGATTTTGGAGCGTGTGGAATGTTCTAGAGAAGTGCCACCACCATTCGGCTTTTATTTATAAGGGAGATTTCAAACATTCATTCCACTTCTCTTGTTTTGAAAGGGGGACTGCATGGACATTATACTCTATCAAGTTCCCTCCCCTCCCTAAACACCACTATCCCAGGTTCCACTCTCAAATCTCCAGGTATTCCGGAACCCAGAGTTGACAACCCTGCATACACTGTGGTTGGAAGAGTCATCTCTGGAATGCTCCTCAATGTTAAATGCTCCCTATATGTAATCAGTTAATAGGTTGTCATCTATCCACCTATCCATCTGTTAACCCAAATAATATGCTAAAGAACCGTAAAACCAGTGACTGTCAGAAGTGTGATTGGGTTTTAATGTTTATTATTGTTTAAATTAACTTGTTTAATCTTAATCTTATTTATTGTACTGTTTTTATGATGTTCCCCGCCCTGAGCCTGCTTGTGGTATGGGTGGGCTATAAATACAAATAATAAAATAAAATAAATAAATAAATAGTGTAATCCTGTATGTACTTATTTGGGAGTAACTCCCATGGAATGCAGTGAAACTTCATTCTGAGTAAATGAACACATGAAGCTGTTTTATAGTGAATTAGATTCAGGTGGGCAGCCATGTTGAATAAAACTTTGATGGACTTCAAGCTACCACTGGACTCACACTTTCTTATACTGAATCAGACTCTCGGTCCATCAAAGTCAGTATTGTCTAGTCAGGCCGGCCGTGGCTCTCCAGGGTCTCAGGCAGAGGTCTTTCTCCTCACCTCACTACCTTACCATTTGAACTGGAGATGCCAGAGGTTGAACTTGGGACCTTCTGCATGCCAGGCAGATGCTCTGCCACTGAACCACAGACCCTTCCCAAATCTGTGCCTGCACTCACCACCACCACCCCACTCCCCATAACAATGCCATCCTAAATGGAGTTCCACCATTCTAAGCTTGGGGTTGCATTCTTTACTCACTGTTTGTTTATCTGTTTCATGTATACCTCACTCTTCTCTCCAATAGCAACCCAAAGTGGCTTATAACATTCTCCATTTTGTCTTCACAACAACCCTGTGAGGAAGGTTAGCCTGAGATTGTGTGACTCCCTGGCCCAGGAACACCCACCAGGCTTAGTGCTTGTGGGAATGAGCCATACAAACTCTTTATTTCTGCTGTATTAGTGTATCACATGCAAGAAGGGATTTTTTTCTTTCTTTAAAAAAAGGAAAACATTTAAAAATGGCTCTTAATCAAGCCTCTGCAATATTGCAATTCTAAACACTACCAAATCTTGCTAGATGAGCTCGGAGACTCATTTGCAGTTTCTGCTGTAGCCCATGAATCGTTCCTGGTGCGTGGCAGTTCTTTTGAATGAATGGGGGATTTCATAAGGGAGTGCATTCTTCCAAAAAACGCATATGACAGTTTTGTTTCTGAAAGACATACCAGAATGCATGCATTGCCGTACCGCTCCGAAACCTGGTGATGGAGGCTTGGGGTAACAAATGTTTCCTTGTCGTCGTGAAAGGTATCATCAGGACGGCTCTACCAAACATGAACAGGGAGAACCGAGAGCAGTACCAAGTGGTCATCCAAGCCAAGGACATGGGAGGCCAGATGGGTGGATTATCGGGGACCACGACGGTTAACATCACCCTGACGGACGTCAACGACAATCCGCCTCGATTCCCCCAGAGTAAGCCTCCTCTTTAATAGCCCTTCTGCACTACAAAAAGCTTTCGAATAAAAGAGTTAAGCAACTGCCATCTGGTTTAATTTAAAGCAAATCTAGACGGTGGGGCGCACATGAACAAAAGGCTTATGCACTGATGTATTCACAGTTATTAAAAGCAGAAATTCCATGTAGCAGGGATGCCTTTGTTTTTTTGTTTTAAAACAGACTCACGGAACAGCTGCATAAAACGTGGGTCGGTCTCCGTTGGGTTAGGGGGACGGGACAAACGAAAGAAGAGCTTTAAGGAGATATGTTCCTTGCCTGTTACCTGCAGCATAATAATTTGATCAGTGGACTTTAAAGGAGTATGCTTGACTCCCTGATTAAATACTGTGGTCAGAAGGGTCCAGATGTAGGGAAGAAGCGGCTTAAAAAAGCCAAATCTGTGGAGATTTGGAGCTGCAAGACCACCAATCCATTGCATTTCTCAGTAACTGAAATCCCATTGAAATAATCACTGGGTACAAACGTGTCTACATTTTGGGCTTGATTCAGGACTGTAGTCAACCTTTGTTGCTGGTTGGGTTCGCTGTATGGTTGCCAACCTCCAGGTGGGACCTGGAGATCTCATGATTTTACAACCGGCCTCCAGACTACGGACATCAGTTCCTCTGGAGGAAGTGGCTGCTTTGGAGAGTGGCCTCTATGGCACTGTACCCTGCTGAGGCCCCTCCCCTCCCCAAGCCACACCCTCTCCCGGATCCATCCCCAAAGTCTCCAGGTATTTTCCAACCCAGAGCTGGCAAACCTAGTTTGCCACGTTTCCAGTCTGAGCTGTAAACAAACAAATGGAAAATCAGATGTTTCCTCATGGCCCATAGAAATTTCTGGAAACCTGTTGCCAAGCACGTGTGTCATGTGTGCATTCTTGTGCCCATAAATCGTTAGCCTCTGAAATGTATGAATTGTGTATGATTTTTTTTTTAAAAAAAATGTTTCAAATACGCCTTTAGAACGTCCCTACATTAAAAAAGAATGTCCTTAAATACATCTTAGCTTGAGGTTGCCAAATTGGACTTACCTCGCCGGCGGGGGAGTCTGGGGTGGCTCCTGGAGCGCGAGCGCACATAGCGCGCCCCCCGCATGCACATTACAGGGAAGTGATGTCATGACGCCGGGCACGCAGGGGGCGGGGCCACAGCCATTTGAGGGGAAAACATAGAGTTTTCCCCTCAAATGGCTGTGGCCCCGCCCCCAGCGTGCCCGGCGTCATGACATCACTTCCCTGTGACATACATGCGGGGGTGGGGTTTCCCCTGGGGCCCGATTCCACTGCGGTGGAAATCGGGCCTCCAAAGCCTATCTTAGCTCCTTGAAGCTCCTTGTCAGACTGAATATCTTTTTTAACGAAAGGAAGTTTTGTTTAAGGATAGCTTTAGCACAGGGTTGTCAACCTCCAGGGGGTGGCTGGAGATCTCCTGGGATTACAACTGACCTCCCGGTGAGAGGGATCAGTTGCCCTGGAGAAAATGACCGCTTTGGAAGATGGAGTCTGTGGCCTTCTACCCCATTGGAGTCCCTCCCCTCCCCAAACCCCACCCTCCTCTGGCTCCACCCCCAAAACCTCCAGGTGTTTCCCAACCCGGAGCTGGCAACCCTACTTAAGCATAACATGTGTGTTTCTTGGGGAAGAAATTTTGGATTGCTCGAGCTGAGCCAGACAGGTGGCCGGAGTTAGGAGTGCAGTTATTTTGAGAGCGTGTCATTGTCCAGTCATTTTTTTGTAAACATAGATGTTCCTATTTTTTTGGGGGGGGGTTAACTTAAGTCGTAATGTTATACACTTAAAAGCCTAATTTTGAAAAACGAAACCTTACTTGAGGTACATTAGGCCCCCGGTTTGGGTGGTACACAGAACGTTCCTATTTTTTGGGGGGTGGCAACTTAAGTCGTAATGTTATACAGTTAAAAGGCTAATTTTGAAAAATGAAACCTTACTTGAGGTACGTTAGGCCCCCGGTTTGGGTGGTACACAGAGCAGTCACAATCTGGTGTGGCTTAGTTTATACTGTGGGGACAAAGCTACAAGAAGACACGTTGTGGCACCCTTCCTAAAGTGAAATTCTTCTGGTGCATGTTCAGATTCTGCTGTGAGGTCTGGATACACAGTTTTAATCAGGGCTATTTTGGGGCAGGAACGCACAGGAACTGAGTTCCGGCTGGCTTCAGAGTTGTCCATGCTCACTACAGCCAAAACCTCTGCATGCGTGCTACAGAGGGAAGGCCTGGAGAGCGACCCCCCCCTCCGGCGACCCGAGGCAGGTGGGCCAAGGGGGCCCCTGGAAGGATCGGGGAGGCATTTAAATGCCCCCCATGCCTTCCCCAGCCTGTCCAAGGGCCAGCTTGCCTGGGCACCCTGCAGTTGTGTGACCTAATATGCTAATGAGTGGTGTGTGTGGGGTGTGGCCTAATATGTAAATGAGTTTCTGCTGTTGGGTGTGGCCTATTATGCTAGTGAGTTCCTGCTGGGGTTTTTCTACAAAAAAAGCCCTGGTTTTAATGAAAAAGGATCAGAAAAAGAAATTGAAGTGATAACCTTTGAGTTCTAGAGGGACCTTAGAGGACATCTATTCCTGTGGTCTTAAGGCGAGTCCTCGGATGGGTCGCAGAACTTCACCTGGCTCCTTTGGAGATAACCTGCTTTCCATGTGAATGCATAGAAAACATGAATGTGGCCTCTCTTTGTATCCCCACTCAGAGGAGCAAGAGGTTCTAGCAGAAGAGGAAGCTGGAAAGGTCCCATTAGCTCTAGCAGCAGCGTAATGCTGGGTGGCCGAAGTGTATTTTCTTCTCAACTTATCAACTTCAGTGTGGCTGGAGGCAAGAATCTAGGGTTGCCATCCCTGGGGGAGGGGGGGGGAGACTTACCAAAATAGCATGCCATGATGTTCACTTCTGGCTGTGTGTCATCGAACACTTTGGGATTTTCCGGAACTCTGTGGTAAAAACCATGGGGTGCTCTAGGATATCCCTGATACTCTATGGCAAAAACCATAGAGTGTCAGAGAAATCCTAGAGCCACTCTAAGGTATTGGTAACCATAGAGTGTCAGAGAAATCCTAGAGCATCCCATGGTGCAGGGATGTTGCTTCTGCTTGTGCAGGTGGAAGTGATGTTGCAGTGTCACCATTTCAGCTGCCGCATTTTTTCCAACTCTGCCCTGTTAAGCAGCAGCAGCAGAGACACAAGGCAGAGAGCAAGAGGTTGCCTGCCATAGCGGGCAACCAATTGCAACCTTACACTACCCCCTCGGGTGATTGGCTCTAAGCCCATGCCTTGCGTCTCCTGGGGCCTGCAAGGGATTGAGACAGACCAAGATGTGTGTGGACATTTTATTTATTTCAGTTATAGGGTTTAAATTGGTTGGTGTGGACATTTGTGTAAGGTGCTTTGGGTTCCTTTGAGGAAAAGAGCAACACATAAATGTGTCAGTGAATAAATAAGGACATATGCAGCACTGAAATTGTTGGAATGAGTGACTCAGTATGTCTGGACATGGCGGCGGGGGTAACGGGGGGGATGGACACGACTCCATCACTCTAAGTGTGTATAGGTGTTATCCCCTTGAATGGGATACCTCTCTTTGTCCTATCTGGGAGCTGCCCTCTGAGCCGTCCTCTCTTTCTCACTTTGTCCTGTCCCTCTCTACACATGACCTTCCATGGAGTCGTATGTCTCTGCAGGTCTGTCTTGTAGATACAGTGCCCTCATACCCCTATTCACGTGATGCCGGATAAGCTGGCTATTAGTGATAGGGAAAGTACTCTTTAGATGAGCTCTCTCTCTCTCTCCCTCTCCCTCTCTCCCCTCCCTCTCTCCCCCCCCCCCCTCTCTCTTTCTCTCTGACTACAACCTGAATGTTAATTGGATCTACTTGAATAAATGTAAGTTTACCTTTTCTTGCAATATATTTCTTGGGATGTATTTACTGCACTCAGTACCACACTTCTATGACTGGGCAAAACTTCTGCTATATTAATCAAATGTCTCAATAGAAATAAATTGATTTAGAAAGGTTTATGTCTGCTCAGAATTGCAAAGTTTGTTAATTCGTCCCTTATCATCTGTTCCAAGTAAGGGGCATGAATTATATTCATCTCCAGCAGCCCAGCAGTCTCTCCTGGTTTGCAAATGGAAATGGGGGGGGGAGCAAATTAATGTTTTCTGTACCTTTCTTGGTCCTCTCCCTCCCCCCACCTCTGCCAGATTTTATTTATGTCATGCATTTGTCCCCCACAATTCAATATGATGTAAAACAAAACTGAAAACTCCCCCAAAGAGTCCCAGATTCAGATTTGGATATTAAGGTTTGAATTTCTCTGTCTTCTCAAAACAAAAAAATCTAACTGGGAAATCCAAGTCAATTCATTTTTTCCTACATTCATGTCAATTGCAAGACAGAGTCCATTTGATCCTCTTGTGCAAACAGAAGCATTAGTAAATAATGATTTGTCTCAAGAAGTGGTGCTATAAGCATCCCAGGATATTTCAAGGCTTCTCCCCTGTACGCAACATTGATTTGAATTTGGCATTCACATGTCGTTTTCTGTTGGACGTTCACTGTCTTAGATTGATTCTTTTGACTTGTTAACTTGGTGGATGGACAGTTCCTATTCACACAAACACGTCCAGAGCTGCAGATAGGATCACAATGTTGGAGTGAGCAACTCAGCATGCCTGGACATGGGGCAGGGGTGATGTGTGTGTGCTACCTCACTCTAAGTGTGTATAGACGTCATTGCCTTCAATGGGATGCCTCTATTTGTCTTAACTTGGGAGCTGCCCTCTGACCCTTCATCTCTGTCTCACTTTGTCCTCTCCCTCTCTCCACATGGCCTTCCATGGATATAATGCCCTCATACTGCCACACGATGCCTGACAAGCTGGCCATTCGTGATTGGGAAAGGATGCTTTAGATTAGGCGTCTTTCCCTTCTTTTGACTGCATCCTGAATGTGAACT